CTTTCCCTTCCTGCCATCGCACATCAGATGGCGTTGCACGGTTGGCGAAATGTCTGATCTCAAGGAAGCCTTGGTTGCGGAGAAGTTCTTCAATTCTGGTTCCATCTTTCTTTCGTTATTTCAGGATGGACGAATTTTCCGACATGAGAAAAAATGCAAAAGCTACGGACAGTCGTCCGTTCTTCCGTTGCTCACGCCAATTCAAGATTGCCAAATCGGGCACATCAACCTTGACATGATGATGTTGCACTATTGTATTTTCCATCACAGTCCCTGCGAGCCTCAAGAACAGGGTCCTCCTTTTTCTTCCCCCCTTTTCTTTTAAAAACGAGCATACAAAGTAAATCTATTTGTGTTTATGCGATGAATGTAATTCGTTCAGCCTGTTTTTCTTTTCCCTTCGTTCTGGTCTCGTACGTAGTAGTGGGAATAATTTCGTTTATCCGGGAACTCAGGGGGGCTTGGTTTTAGTTGAAACATGCGGGTTGCCGAAGTCGTCGGTTTCATGAGTAAATCCGAATAAAGTCACGTGCGTCTCGCGTCCATGCGTCATGTGATTGTCCTCCTTCCAATAATCAGGAGAAATGTTCCTTTTCTATCACCTCAAGTTTGGAAGATTTATATAGCTCAATATGCGCACCACTACTGGTATGGGATTGGTGAACGTGAATACGTAAGATCATGCTGCCGATCTCTAAATATTCCTTCTACAATCCAAAGGACAATCAGGTTCCTTCTCCAAGGTTCTCCACAACGTGAACAAACTGTTCTATCAGTCATAGCTAGGCTATTCGTGGGCCAACTTACTTTTCTGCGATATAGTAGTATTCGCGACTAGGAGTAGGGAATGTCGATAAGCCTTTTGTACACTCCACTGCCACGCTATCGATCTTTGTGTGTTCGGGAAATGATTATTCTGATAAGTTTTCTTGAGGAAAGGTGGCAAGTGAAGATGGTCATGACTCTTTGAAGACAGTCTACCAGATTGTTCTTGTACTCCTAGGAGACTCAAGGCAAATTCCTCGGTTGAATTACGAAGAAGAATGCTGTTTAGTCTCTTTTTGGGGCTCCCCTGGTAATATAGCTGCTTGTTGTGCCCTAATGACGACGAAGAGAAGTTCCGCGTTCTCAGGAATCTAGCGTTCTTAAAAAGATATTGTATTGAGAAGCAAGTATTATCACGATAACTAGTAGTCCAATGTAATTAAAGTTCCGTTGCTGACAAGGCGAAAATGGCTGCAAGAATTGCATTGAGATCGCATCAATGACCCCACAGTTGTCTCTTATTAAACACCCGCGTCTGTTCTTTCAAGTTTAAGACTCCAATCCCCTCGCGTCTGTTTTTCCTCGACCTTACCAGTGCGTTCTCTAGGAATTCCTCGGTCTGTTAACTCAAACTGAGCGACGCTACCTCGTATAGGCCTCTTCCTCTACAATTATCAGCGAAATGGACTGGCTAAGGGTGATACTGCCCTTGCGATGTCCTCTTTATGCTCCTTTTACAAATTAAAGACTCTTTCCCGGACGAGGCCAACTAAATCCAATATACCGTAAACCGGCCAACACATGACCGCAGCAATTGCTACTCGCGATATAATATCCTGGCTAGATATCTATACTATTAATACTGTCGACGTCTATAATATAACACTCCAAGAAGTGCTTCCGCATCTTAAAGAGCCAGTGGGACAAGGTTATTTGTGTTAGGACATAATACGGGGCTTAGGCGAGGACCCGCTTGAGGCACACAGCCTCGTACTTCGGTGGTCGGTTTCTTCAGCACTATCACCTCCAACCTGAAATCGTAGCTCAAAAAGGTACACTCGCCTAGCGAGCATAATTGACCGTTCAAATGGACTGAAAATACTTATTCGGTGGAGCTATACATACAAATTTTTGGGCTACGATTTTTGGCTAGAGGGGATAGACCAAAACGCGATTTGGGGCCAGGGAGCAAGAACTTAAGAAACTTGGGGAGTCTTGATCGTAACCCCTACTCTTGATGACTGATCGTGAAGAGATAGGGAAACGATATTAGAGAATCACAATCATTCATGAGAAGACAGAAAGTGCGTCTAGCCGTCCAATGATCGATTCCGTTCGCTTTACAAAAGGCGGCGCTAGGAGAAGAGTAAGTAAAAGGCCCGCCTTAATTGCTATGCTTGCTTCGCACTTTCATCCAATCATAATTTCATCGCTGTGCTCCTGTCTCCGACCTTTCACTCGAACACGACTCTTTTCTCACAAAAAGCTTACATAGGAAGGATTTACGATCTAGCCGCCTCTAACTCCAACTCCAATTGTCGGATTCGCTCACTCTGATCCCGTGTTCCAGATCCGACTCTCATCTTTAGTGTATCGACTTCCTGGGTCAATCGCCCTATTTTCTCGCTCTGTGTTGTGATAGTTTTGGTTTGCGCTTCTAACAGGCTCTTGATTTCTTGAAGTGACGATTCAACTCCGCCGCTCGAAGATGCTGCTGGCGCTGGAGTGGGAGATGCAACTGGGGACTGAACGGCTCTTGGTGTCGAGGATACAGGTGCCGGTCTTGGTGCTTCGGTCTTGGTTGGTGAAGCCTTCGCTAGTGATGCGGCCTTCGGCTCTGCTCTTGCGGCAGCTGGGATGGATTTTTGAACTGGTTGTTGGATCTCCTCGAAGCTCGAAGCGTCATCCCCATCATCCTCAACTCCGTCATCCTGGAACTTGTTTGCCATAGCAGCAATCGAACCCTTCTGCTCAGATATGGTTGGTGGAGGCGCTCTGGCTGTCGGAGTTGGCTCTGGTTCTTTCTTCACTGGAGCGGTCGCTTTGACTGGGACAGGAGCAGGTGCAGCTGTTGGTGGTTTGTAATCAGATGCAACTTCGACAGGAGCATTGCCATCATATACGCTTTCCAAGTCGATCTTGGCTGGGATACCATCTTTTCCTGAGAACCACTCTGCTGCGGATACAGCTGGCTTGAGTCCAGTCGCGGGTGGAAAGATATCTGACTGGAAGACCTCGGCTCTTCGAGGTACGGTGAAAGATATTGGTTCGATATACGCATCGTTGACAGTCTTGTATGCTCTCATAACTTCATTTTCGTGGACCTAGAGTTGTCAGTACCTGGGCACAAGCCTTTGTCAACCCACTCACGTTGATACCACGCCTTGGCACGAAAGCAACTCCTCGCTGAGGATCACCTGACTTGTACTCTGACAAAAACTCGAATTTATCGTTCTGATACTCAAAGTATCGGATATTGCCGTCGCTACCATACATCAGCAAAATTCACAATGACTCGAGGGACACGACTCACCCTTTCCCAGCAAGGTACAAGCATTGGGTACCATCATCTTGGATCATGTTAGCAAATCTCTGTACTTTTGACAGGCAAAGTTCTTACCCCAGAACGGCATGCAAACACCAGAGATAGAATCCAGAACAGCGAATCCTCCAATTGGTTCCGCAGCACTACCAACATCCCATAACGCCATCTGTCGGTCACTCATCTTGGAGAATCCAGTTGTGGCAACGCGATTGTGCTCACCCATCCATACAACTCTGCTGTTCTTCGCTCCTGTATGTCCTGGGCCCTCGTGGGCAGGTCTCTCTTGTCGCACATCCCAGATTCTCAATTTCTTGTCTCGCGATGTTGTGACTAGGAGGGAGCCGTTCGCACTCCATGACAAACTCTGCACGATATCTCCATGCCTCAGCGTCAAATTTGCTTTGCCCGAACCGATATCCCACAGCTTGATGGTGTAGTCGCCGGAAGCAGAGGCCAGAACATTTTCGGCAGCGGGGTTGAATAGGACCTGGCCAACTTTCCTACAAATCGTCAGCATGCCCAATCATCCATACCCAGAGTAGTTGCTTCTGGGCTTACCTTGAATGTCCCGTCAATTTGCTCACAGGCGCAACGTCCGCCGGTTCCTCGGCATCCGAGTATAAAGAGAACCCTTGCGGTACCTGCCATATGAACACCTTTCCGTCGTCCGACCCAGATGCAATGACACGGTCGTTAAAAGGCGACCTAATTTGTGCTGTCAGTCGGGTCCCCTGTGTTTACGCCGTTCAACACACCAATCCGTGTCCAGAACTGGTCCTGTATGCCCTCGAAACAAAGGAATCTGCTCGGGCAATCGACCCTTCTCGTTGACTGGAATAACCGCGAATGCCCCTCCCCCACTGGCTTCCCAATTGACTGACAGGTATTCCGGGTTGGCCTAGAAAGGATTCGCATCAGCTTATGAGCCCTTGACACGCACCCACCGCCACTAGAAATGCCCACCTTGACTAGATTCGTGTCCCAGGCATTGCGAGTGATGTGCAGATTGTCGTAGCAAGACTCTTTCCTCGTCGATTTGCCAAAAACATGTCCTGTTGGCGGGGTCAGCCTGCTCTCGTGGCCACATTCTGTTAACGAGGATGACGCTTACGATATTTCGACGCGCGCACGAAACGACCTGCCATTGCAGCCGCGAATCAGGTAGTGATGGGGGGTCGAATATAAAATGTTTGTGGTTCCAAAGAGTGTGGGGGATGTAACCTTATCGTTGGGTCAGTAGTTGTGGTTCGAAGCTCGCGGGAGCTGCATAAAGGCAAAGACGAGGACGAGGAGGACGAGGAAGGTAACGAGGCCTGATTTATAAGGCACCATTGTTTTGATCTCAAACTTCCAAGTCGTCTGTTGTTGTTGTTGTTGTTGTTGTAAGGTTAACTTGCTTGCCTCTCCTTCTCCTACTTTCTCCTACCTTCTCTTACCTTTCCCTCCCTTTCTCCCACATACTTTTCAATCTTCACTTTGCATCTCGCCATGTCGCCAATGCGAATTGACTATCCGAGTTGTTACGATACACCTAGTTCCTTGCATCACATCGCTTCCTCTTCCGAACTCCGTTTGGACCCATGTCTGCATGCACCCATTGCATGAGAGACCAATGATAGACCCTCAATCGTCCGTGATAGGTGTCATTTTTTTAAGACTCAATATTGGGGCTCTTTCATCAGATTACACAAGTCGTATGGTCTAATGGTTATGATATCTCGTTCACAATTTGAATCAACCCCGAGATGGTTCTGAGTTCGATCCTCAGTACGACTATATTTTTGCAATTTTCTCGTCCTCCATGTGGAGTCTTTTGAGGCGTTCTCTAATTGTGCTTTTCTGTTCTTCGCTTGCACTTTTGCCGAGCAATGACATACTTTTGGCGAGGCTTCAGGATCAACTCCTACGTAGAAACTAGGCTATGCTAGGCGAGGAGAAGTTGACGGTTAAACGTTTGTTGGCCAGAACTTAAATTGTTCCCTCCTTGGTTTAGATACAGCCAAGATGCTTCAGCGACTACATTCATAATGTTTTTCGGCTATTACGTTGGACACGTAGTCGTCTAATCGTCGTGGCTTAGATACCTGCCAGATACGGAATACGGCTTTATAAATGGAATAGTTCGGTGATGAGTCATGAAGCAAACCAATCTACAAAATAAGAACGAAACCCAAACATTCCCCAATCACAGTATACTACAAAATCAACATATCAACTCGTTCAAGATGGCGGTCGAAGAGGTACTCAAGGATGTAGGCGAGAATCCAATCGCGAGAGTGTGTCTAGTTCCATGGGACCCGGATTCGGATTTTCAAGTGAAGCGAATGCACCAACAACGTACATCTTGCGGTTGGCATCAGTGGTTCGTGGAAGATAAGTGGACTGTACAACAGAGAGAGGGGCATAAATCAATTCACTGGATAGTCAGTCAATCTAATCTCCTGCTTCTCACTTCAACGCTCACAATTTCAGGTCCTTGACTCGCCTAATCCAACCGTCGACGAGACATTAATACGGAAACACCTTGCCAAATATCCCGATGAAGCCACCCCTTTGATGGACTCGGCAACCTCCCTTCGTGCCCAACCAATCACTCCTTCATATTCAAAGCCTTTTATCCCAGTAGGGCACATTTCGCTGGACTCCGACGGGGCTGATCCCGAGGGGAAGTTGTCTTATGATCTGAAAGATGTGTATCGAATTGTTGCATTCTACGTGAGCCGAGCACTACATGGTAACTTCCGCCTGAAAAGAACCATTAATTCTCAACTGGTCCATTTTGCTCACCAAAAGACAGGTTCAGGAGTTGGTCGCCAAGCCATGGACGCCCTCGAATCTATCACCGCAAGTCCGCCTTTCTCCGCCAAGACATTGGTAATAAGCACAGCAGCAGACGACTATCCCCATCGAATCGAGAAATTCAAAGCGTTGGGACGAAAACTGCCTATGGTAAGTTCCCCCTATTCCCTGACATCCCCGAGAAGGTTTTACGAGATTAACAATCAAAATAGCACTCAATTTCGGAATGGTACGCGAGACGAGGATACGTACAATACAAGCTTGTAGAAGAGGCATGGTGGGAACCTGATAAGACGGGGAAGCAATGGGCTGCTTCGGCTGTGTATATGAAGAAGGATGTCGTGCAATTTTGATTTAAGTTTTAAGCGAGTATATATGTTTAGGCGACTAGCCTTTTACAAGATCTCTGTGGCTGGCCTCATTATACTGACTTGTTACGCCTATCCTCTACCTATCGTACGGGAAGAAGATTTCCCTGAGGTCATCGTAACTAGTTTCAGACTGAGCCATTGGCTCTCTCTTGGGAGCTGAATATATCCACCGAATTTATTATCTAAACTACACGCTAATATCACTTTCCACTACCATCTAATGTCAACATTGATGTTCAAGTACGTACTGATACGATTAGAGCTCCCTTAGCCTACTTTCTCTCCTTGTCTTCTATTGCTGCAAGGAACATAGTAGGGATTTATAGCTTTCCAGATGCTCTTAATGCTCCCTGCTGCATCATCTTATAAATCAAGTAGTTGGGGACCCTTGAAGGCTGTGAGTGGTGGTGGAGCGCAAAGGGGTTTCTATTCCAGAGCGGGAAATGCTTTGATGCCGGAACCTCCGATGTTCGGTTATCTTTTTCTTTTGTTATGGAAACCCCATTAGCCTTCTCTTATCTACGAAGCAAATTTAGTAGTAATTTTTTCCCTCGGACTATTTTATTGGCTTTGTGAGGCAATAGTAAAGGTGAAACAACGCTCGGGTAACTTAAACTAGGAAAGCTCCTGGCCTTACCTGACTTATTAAAAAGGGAAGAGAGATACTGTATCGCCATAACTCCGTTATACCCCCCTTTTTTATAGATACCTCACTGGGTAGTCTACAATGCTTTTCTTACTCGTGAATTCACCGATGAAAACGTACCAGAGGAATTGAATTGAACCGAACATAGGAAATTCAGATCCCAGGCAGTTCTCACAGGCGAGGGCTTTCCCAATGTACATCTCATCATCACATTGCTTAGTCGGCAATTTATATAAAATCAGCTATAACGTTTACTATGTATATGTCATATCTTCGCTGGGTGCAACAAATAACAGCTTATCGGATGATGCATGTAGACACGACGGTTCTGAGGCTGTTCTTGGCCACACAAGAACAATTGGGAGGGAGAAACTGTCATTTGGAAGGAGTATGAATCGAATTCCAATTGTCGACACCGTGGTGCACTGAGATACTACCTCCTCTAATTCTCTATTGCTAATTTATGAGCAGGCTCTCGTTATTATGTAATATGGGGTGTTTGAAGAGGGGATGGGGGAAAGTTGAAATAGTGAATGGCAATGAGGATATCACGACAACTCAGACGGGGCATTACCCAGTACATCCCAAGGTTTAGGTGTCGAAGTATAGCCATGCTGCATTTTTTGAGAAAGATAAACATTGACTTGGAGTCGATTTAGTTACAACAGCATGAGGAAATGGAACTAATTTCTATCAGCAACGATCCTACTTGACAAGCAAAGATGAGAGCCTCGCAAAGTTAGAAGTAGCACCTAAGTGTGCAATTTCGATATGAAAATGAAAGTATAACATCGTTTCCTTGTTACATTCGATAGTGTTATGTAACACTGTGGAGACTGTGGTCTTACAGCCTTATTGAAAAATAATATCATAATCCAGCGTCGATTTGTCCTTTGATTCTTACTCGTCAACTTACGGCAACTATGCCACGCCACGTTTCAGGGTTTATCGCAGAACCCCACCTTTTTGATGGGCGCAACCTCTTTTCTTAGTTTTGAACTCTTGGGATCCGCTTGATGTTAATCGTAGGTCCTTCGGGTAGTCAATTAATCCCACTTTCTACACTATGATCGCATACCATAAATTTGAATACGCCGCCCTCAAGCAGCACCTAAGTGACCGAAATAGAGAAATTTAAGGTCCTCAACAATAGAATTTGCTTGAACTTGAAAGCTTGTACCATAAGTGTTATCCTATCGATCGCATTTAAACTTTCAGAAGAGGAAACAGTATGTGTATAGGATTCGGAAAGCAAAACTCATAGCATTCCAGAAGCACAATCCGTTCCCATATGAGCTGTTGTTTATAGTGAACCATTTGGATAGTATCTTGTTAGCCACTATAACGTAATAGTGGTTATATGAGTCACTTATTTCCTTAGTAATTATTACAAATTATCGGTAAGGTGGCAAAGAAGATTCTGGAGGATATTAAAACCTGATTAGGCAGGCAGTCACTCTCTATATAAAGACTCGCTTGTTCCAGTATTATAGAGGGCAGTCCCTCTTAAATGTTTCCTGAGAAATACTCTCTTTACCCTACCCCAGAAACCAAATTCTGACTCCTGCATAAGGCTCTCAGCTCATAACTGGGGATGTAGTAGTTGCTGGGAGCGGAATTGTAGCTAGGTGTAGAGACATAAGTAGGAGTAAGAGAGAAATAGATATTCGAGAAAGTGCCTCTTTCATCCGCTTACTGCCAGCTATAAATGGAGGAGAACCATCCAGTAAAACAGCCCTCAAATCTGCCGACGGCGACACAGTAATGATAAGAGATGCAAACACTGCCTCAAAATGCCAAGAGCGTTGTTTGCTTTGAATATGTCTCAAAACGATGGAGCTGTCTTCCACTCAAAGTCCTTTTGAGAACCCCACGAGGTTAAGTTCCACCCATTCTCGAGGTGAGCACTTCAACCTATTTTTGTTGCAAGGCCTGGAGGTCATATATTTATCGTTAACCGATATTTTCGAACACCGTTTTTATGCCAAAACACGTGCTTAACACCTCATAAATTGACAATATAACTACCTGCTTTTTGATAGTTCCTTTTACGTATCTTCTTATTAAAACCTTTACTTGCCTCTCCTAATTTACCTTGTCCCTATGTAATGTGGTAATATAGCTACTCCTTAGTAAAGTGGGACGTGGTCGAAAAGTATCAACTAGCCACATAAAATCAGGGTTAAATTTCCACCTCCTAACTATAACCTTTACACCATTATTTTTTTAACCACAAGCTAGCTTAAACTAATACAATAGGTACTAAGCCTCGGAAAGACCTTAAGAAAAGGTTATATTTAGTATAATAGTACATGGGATAAATGGCATGTGTTTGTAAATTCGGTAAAACAGCGGTTTTTGGTGGGATTACGAGAGCCGTCTGATATCAGTTGACTAGTACTGTGTCTGCTGTGCTACATAACCTTTCAACACAGCTTCTTCTGCAAGATGGGATAAGAGCTTTGATCAGACTCGGGGTGGGCATTCCCACCTTAACGACGGCTCTGACAGCAACCTCGCACCACTTCTAACACTAGTTGTGAACGATGGCAGGTAGACCGATTATTCAAGATTTCCGCCCATTCCAATCCTTTTTAGGACGTGGTTTCCTGGTAGCATTGACATTCTCGTTGCATGTCCGACTCCAAAATATCACCTTACAGCCTATGAAGCTCACCCCTGTTGGCCGAGGAAATGATTCACTCGCCAAAGAGCACATATCAAGATTCTTCGCAGGCAAAGAGCAAGAACTCAGACATGTCCGAGGAGGAGTAGGTTAACTCCATGTCACAGGATTGAGAACCAGAACAGAGCACGATATCGGCTTCAGCGACAATTGGCGTCTTCTGCTGGCCCGAAACCGCGGGAACGTGTTGCTCCGTCCGGTCCCCCTAGTTTACTGCCAAGACTCTTCCATTTTTCTCCCTCATATCGTTTCACCAAGATAAATTACCGGAGGT